TAAAGAAAATAGTCTTTTTAAAGAAAATAGCCTTTTCCAAAGCAGACACTGCAGCAAGCTCTTTATGCCACCTGGTACAAGGTGCTAATGTCCATCTTGCAGTAGATGAAATCAGACTACCTAAATGAAGCATTTTTTGCTTCCAGGGAAAGGACACCACTGACTTCTGTACGCAGCAGCACCTGCAGTGACTTGGGACTTCCCAGGGCCCAGTGTTCTGGTGCCCATTGCATTTGCTCTGCATTGTCTTCCATGAGCCATTTTCCCTGCCCAGACTCCTCCAGGATTTGCCTGCTCCCACAGAACACAGCTGGCTACTTTATGTCACTGCAAAGCTGTTTGAAATTAAAGAGACAGGATTTTAAACATGGGTAGCAGAAGCAATTTGCATGTTCTGTCCAAGACAGACATGTCCACATCACTGCATGGCATAATAACACTGCCTTTACCTGGCAAAACTAAACTAGGCAGGCTCAGCAGTGTTTGAATGTCAAAGCACAGCCATGTGCATAAGGCTCTGCATAACCTAGCACTTCTTTTGAGCACCTCTTCCTCACTGTTCCCAAGCCAGGCTCCTCCATACCTGCAGCAGTTTCCAGAGAACGCAGTCAGCTGCTAGGGGAAGAAGGCAGAGATTCCTGCAAGGCTGTAAACCATGCAAGGAACATGCCCCCATCCCATCTGCACAATCCTTTTTCTTTCTTCCCACCCTCTGTAATTCACTTGCTCTTACACCAATGCACTGTAATTTTACTTAAAAGCAGTCTAAGTATCTAGTATGGCAAACTCAAAGACTTGATCTGACTGTAACTTTGGATATTACTGCAGAACTAACCAAAATAGTAATCCAGCTACCCTACAAGATTATCCCCCTTCTTAGAAGCTCTGCTCGGCACTGCTTAAACAGCGCAAACAGTGGGAAGACAAAGATTTTCTTCCGCCATACTTGGTTTTCAGTGAATTCATAATGGAGTACTGCTCATCCAATGCTTCTTGCAGCTGGCTGACTCGTGCCGCAGACATTCTGCATATTTGGGAAGGGGAAAAAAGGAAATAAAAAAAAGCTGGGTAATTTCTGCCAGGAAATGGAGAGTGCTCAATTCTCCCATCAAAGAGCAGAAAACATTTAGAAATCTAACTCACTTCTCACTCCTGGCTCTTTCTGCTTTCTGCTTGTCTACAGTATCCACAAAATCCATGAACTGTGAGCAAGGCAAAATTCAGTGAGAAAATGAATTGCATCAGTGACAAACCTTTACATTTCTCATCCTTATCTTCCCAACAACAGCTGAAGACGTGTCAAGCCACTCTACTGGAAGCAAACTGGAAGTTTGATTGGTTTATCAGCACGTCTGAATAAGGTCATCAGCTACAGGGACTCTGCATCCTAAGGTGTCAGATGGAAACCCTAAGATGTCAGATCTCTAGGTTTACACCACTTGGAAAATATCAAACTGATTGCAAAATAAATGAAACCACAAATAACTAAAGCTCCTCCAGAACCCAGAGTGAATATGTTCAGCAGGGATGTGTCCATACTCATACTGTTACTTGATTCCTAGGCAACCTAGCTCAGAGGACAGACCCAATGTACTAAATGATGCTGTGTGCCTGGCCACAAAAATGCAAATGCAACTTCAGGTGCACAATAATACTGCCACTGAGTGCTCTGAGGGGACCTCAAGGGAAAGCAAAGGATCCTAGTCACCCCATTTGAACTGCCAACATCTGCTGACCTGTTTGTTCTTCTCATCTTTCAGACTCAAAACCTCCTTGCTGAGGATGTCCACTTGGTTCTGTGCCTCACTCAGGATAGCCTCACGGTCTTGGTTGTGATCCAAGGCTTGTTCTGATGCAGAGAGAGTAGGACAACATGCACAAGTTTCTAAAGCAAGAGAATAACAAGCACTGCTGGAAGAGACAGCACTCAGGATGACCACTGGCTATCAGAAGCACCAGGACAGTTGCCCTTCTCAGGCTGGCCCATGTAGAGAGAGTCCCACCTTACATCACAAGGTGGGATGGGATCAAAGAGAGCAGTGTCTAAGGGTAATCAACACCCCAGCCTCAGGAAAACTGTTCAACTCTGCTGTGGACAGGACAGGATGGGCTGCGTAAGCCACATAAAAACTTGGCTCATCAGAGGCAAACTATGAACAAAAGCATCAAGTTCTCCCACACTCACATGGCACAGCAATCTCTAATAACACAATCCAAATTATTTTTTCGCTTTTGCTGGTGAAAGTGACACTTTCAACTTGACTAGCTCTCACTAAAGGACAAGAAGCGGTGACATAGGGCATTGTAGAAATGCTATTGAGAAAGGGAGGGAAAGAGGATTAGCTCTCTTCTGGAGCAGCAGGTGCCCTATATCCCCCAAGTGCTGAGCTGGGAAAGGAGTTAAGTGATTCACTACTGTACATACATTATACTTACCCACAGCTCTCAGGATGTCGCCAGGAACATTGTTCCCTGCCAGCTCAAGCTTCTTCAGGGTCTTGTTGCTTTGCAAGCAGTTCAGCAAAGCTCGGCCACCCAGAAGCCCAATGTTATTCCATCGCAAATCTACACAGAAAGCAAACTTTCACCATGGTAGTCACGCATCTGCTGAAAAATGCAGGGCTCAAGAGAACCCATGTTCTTTATGTATCTGCAAGCACAGTTAACTAATCCCAGATAGCCTTAGCACAACCACAGGTGACTACTCTGGCCCCTTTCAAGATGAATGAGAGGAAGAGAAAGTGACAAAGCAGGAAAGGCAAGAATAAATCTTTAGTAAACTGCAGGATGTCATCACAGAAGTCTACGTCTCACATTTGGCTCTCACGAGCTTTCCTTCCACAGACAGAATCTGTGGATAAGAAAGAATTGGCAACAAAAGCCACATTCTCCTGAAGGAAATTCCAGCAAAATTCCTTATCACGTGGACAAAGCAAGTGCGAATTAAAGTATCAAGAGTGTCACAAGGCATGCCAACTGCAACCACAAACAGGAATGAAAACACTTCCTCCTCCACTAAAGACTGTTCTGCTCAAAAAACACAATTCTTCATCTGCAGGTTTGGTTCCAGGAATTCCCATTTCAGTTCCCACTCTCCAAAGGCCATGGGGTTGTGACCTCTCCCTGCACAAAGCCAGCAAAGCACTCCAGACTGACAAGAACTGGGAATGACACCGACCAGTTGGAAGAAACTGAGGCAAGAAACCTGAAGATATATGTATGTTTGCATGCCTATATGCATATGTGGACAAAGAACCCTTACCCAGCTCCTGAAGGCTGGTATTTTGTGTCAGTGCCATGGCCAGCTCTCCAGCCCCTTGATGGTTAATCTGGTTATTGCGCAGATCCAGATGCTGAAGAAAGTTGTTTGCTCTCAGCCCTTGGCAGAAAAAGGAGAAGCCCTCCTCCCACATGCCGAGGCTGTTCCATTCTAAGGTTAGGCTAGGGAAATCAGACAGGATTGGTGTTTGTGGAGTAAATGGACAGCGGCATGAACTTGAACGATCCACAGATCATGGCATACACGGTCAAACACCTAGCTCCATGAGTGGGCTTGGTTTTAGAGAGCAGGACACTGCCAGGACCCAGCATCCTCCAAAAGAGCACCTCCAGTTTTCATGCTTTTGCCTGTCCCACCCCTTACAAGAAATTGCACGGCTTGGCATTCCTCCTACCCCAACGGAAAACACCCTCAACCCTTTTCAAATGTCGTGCTGCATCCAGCAAGAATAGCACAAAGAGAGGTAGGTATATTTTTTTACCTCCTAATGGATTTGTTCTGCCTAAGAAGTTTTCCCAAAGCCTCAGCTCCCATGGTTCGCAGGTTATTTCCCTGAAACAGAAGCCCCAGGTGATCAGTAGGCTAAGCCTGTCCCAGTCCACCTTGACCACAAACACCACCAGATGCATCTCAGCTGTAATGCCAATTACAGTCAGGCAAAGATGGTCCAATCAACATTTGCTTGATTGCCCTCCACAAATTGAAAAACCTTGGAGGAACAGTGGATCCATATGCACCACTGCTCTTATGAGGGCACCATGACTGAGAGCTTGCAAAAATCACAAAATAGCACAGAACAAGCATGGGCCACAATGGGACAGAAAACAGCAATTCTAGATAACTGTAACTATTTTAACACACTTCATTAAGAAGGGCTTTGTTAACACTAGCACAAATGAGAAAGAAAGTTATGATGCAGTTTGTGACTGTGATGCTGTTTGTGATGGTAAATTCAAGGGAATAGCTGTTTGCCAGAGGAATGCAGATAGAAAGTCACTCTCAGTAGAGAGACAATCACATCTGAAGGCATATGCTTAGTTCAAAGCCCAGGCTAGTCAAAAGACAGAAACACAAGCAGAACAGCTAGTAACTCATTGATCAATAGAGGAATCCCCCAAAAAGCCTACATATGCCTCATCTGCCCAAGCAGCAATTGACAAAAGGCAAATAGCAATAACTTATCAAAATAGGGTAACTGAATAAAAATGGATAATCTGCAGAGTAACTTCAGAAAATTGTGACATGGTATTAACAAGGAGTGAGTCACATGAGAACAAAAACCTTACAGAAGTATGCATCTTGTTGAACAATCCTGCACCAGGACTGTCCTGTCTATTTCTGATTAAGCCTGTGCTCCTTTTTCCTTCTCCACCACAGAACACTCTTAATTCTATTCAAACAGACTCACCTTCAGATCCAAGGCTTTGATTGTGGTGTTGGAGCAAAGACCATGCAACAAAAGTCTTACACCTGAGCAGAAAAAAAGAGCTGTTTATTTCATCTGCAAAACCCTCTGCCTAAACCGGCAGCATATCATCCTAGCGATAAACAAATTACTTGGCAAACTGCTACTGCTGTTGGAAAGCGCGACCCTGAGCTTTCAGGGCAGGAGACTGCTTATACATTCTCAAAAATGTGTCCGGACAGAGACACGTCGGCTTACACATCTACCTGACAGCCCTGAAAAAAGCCCACGTTTGGCCAGGCTCTGCGGACACGGATGTACTGCCCCCACTTAATGCCGGCCACCTCATCCAGCGAATTGTCCCGTCAGTCCACGGCCAACGAGAGCAGAGCTGCCCCCGCCGCCGCAGGAGGGCCCGAGGGGTGCGCGACCACCCGCACGATCACGGACTGGGCGCCTTCGCCGGCGTCCAGTA